GCACAAACATACCTCAGTTGGTGCTAGAGCAGCAGAGGTGTGCTTATATTTTCTCCCGCTGCTGCTGGTGCTGCTGCAGCAGCAGCACCAGCAGCAGCAATAGAAGCAGCAGTAGCAGCAATAGAAGCACTAGCAGCAGCACCAGTAGAAGCAGCATCAGAAGCACCAATACAAGTAGCAACAAAAGCAGCAGCAGCAACAGCAGCAGCAACAACAGCAGCAGCAGCAGAAGCAGCAGCAATCTTATTGTCAAAGTATTTGCAATTTCCTGTTGCTGCTGTCTCTCCTTTGTGCTGCAGATGCTTCCTTCCTTGCTGCTCCATAGAGCTGAGCAAGAGCAACAGCAGCAGCAGCAACAACAACAGCAGCAACAGGAGCAGCAAGAGCAGAGTCCGCAGCAGCAGCAGCAGCAGCAGCAGGTGGATGATCTCCCTGTACGAGGAATAGAAAACTTTGAGGAAGCAATTGAACGGCAGCAGCAGCTGCTGCTGCTGCAGCAGATGCAGCAGCAACAAGATGAAGAGCTGCAGCAATGCTGCTTCTGTCTTAGGTAAGCAACACGTAAGAAGCAAACACACAAGCAGCAGCAGCAGCAGCAGCAGCAAGAGTAGCAGCAGCAGCAGCAGCAGCAGCAGGGTGTGTGTATTTGCATGCAGGAACTTTGTTGCATCAAGGATAGAGAAGCATCTAAAGATATGCGAAGCAGCAAAGACACAAGAGCAGCAAAAGAAGCAGCGGCAACGGCAGAAGCAGCAGCAGCTAGAGCAGCAGAAGCAGCAGCGGCAGCAGCAGCAGCAGCAGCTCAAGCAGTTGCTGCTAGAGCAGCAAAGAGAGCAGCAAAAGCAGCTAATGCTGAAGCAGCAAGCTGTTAAACAAAGAAGAGATGCAGCAGCAGCAAAGGCTGCTGCTGCGTCTCGTTGGGCAGCAGCACGCAGCAGCAACAGCAGCAACAGCAACAGCAACAGCTGCAGCAGGCAACGAACAGATGAGACTTTTAGCAGCAGCAAAAATCACAACAGCTGGCAGCAATCCGATGTTGCTGCTGCTGCTGCTGCTGCATTGGGTGGAGGAGGAAGGAGCAGCAGTAACAGCAGCAACAGCAGCAAAAGGGCGCTGCCTGCAAGGTCGCGTCTACCACCAACCAGTGGAGACGCTGCAGCAGAAGCAGCAGCAGCAGCAGAGGCTGCAGCAGAGGTAGAATACAAAGAAGAAGTAGGGACAGAGACTGCAACAAAAGAAGCAAAAGTAGCAGCAGCAACTGCAGCAGCTGCAGCAGCAGTAGCAGCAGCAACAGCAGCAGAGGCAGCAGACGCAGCAGCGGAAGCAACCAGGGCAGCGTCAAACGCAAGCGACTGGAGGGAGACCCTTGCTGCTCCAGAGGCCTCGTCTGCTGCTGCTGCTGTTGCTGCTGCTGCTGCTAACAGTGCGGCAGTTGGGGCTGAATCAATAGCAGCAGCAGCAGTAGAAACAGATGCTGCTGCTGGTGCTGCTGAGCGGCAACCGAGTGTTGGCATCAGCTGCTGGACAAACTCGCCAGGGGAGCCGCCTCCCCTGCAGCAAAGCAGCCGCAGCAACAGCAGCTGCAGCAGCAGCAGCTGCAGCATAAGACAGAGCAGCAGGAACAGCAATGTCAGCAGCAGAGCTGCTAGCAGTCGTCTTATTAGCGACTGCAGCGCAGCAATGGAGGACCTACTGGAGCCACCACAGTTACAGCAGCAGCAGCAACAGCAGCAGCACGAACAGCAGCAGCAGGAACAGCAGCAGCAGGAACAGCAGCAACAGAAGCAGCAACAACAACAACAACAGCAGGAAGAGCTGCAGAGGCACCGTCTACAAGAGCAACAGCCGCAGCAACAGCAACAGCAGCCGCAGCAACAGCAGCCGCAGCAACAGCAGCAGCAGCAACAGCAGCAGCAGCAACAGCAGCAGCAGAAGAAAGCATCTACCTGTGGCAGGACGGATCTGCAACGAGCTCGACCCCAAGACAGGTAACACCTGATCAATGGCAGCAATAGTAGCAGCAGCATCAGCAACAGCAGAAGCAAAAGCAGCAGCAACAGCAGTAGCAGCAGCAACAGCAGCAGCAACAGCAGAAGCAGCGGCACCCGTTGTATTCTGGTGGCATTGCCGTTTCTGCTGCTGTTGCTGCTGCTGCTGTTGAGTTGTCCTTCTTGTGTTTGTGTCTTTACCTGACATTTTCCCTTTACCTGTAATTAAACCTTTTATCTTTTATAGCTGCTGCTGCTGCTGTTTTTGCTGCTGTTGCTGCTGTTTGTTGCTGCTGCAGGTGGCGCTTAATTCCTGCTGCTCGTTGCCCTTTATGTCTTCGTCGTTTTTGCCTAAAGTCTGTTGATCGTCATATAGAGATTTGTAAGCAAAGACAAAAGGAGACAGGAGGAAGAATAGTCCCTTCTGCTGCTGCTGCTGCTGCAGCAGCAGCAGCAGCAGGGACAGGGAACCCGCAGCAACGCGCCGTGAAGACGACTTATAGACGCGCGAGGAGCCTAGGACCACCAGCAGCTGCATCAACTATAGCTGCAGCAAGAAGCAACAGCAGCAGCAACAGCAACAGCAGCAGCAGCAGCAGCAGCAGCAGCTACAACAGAGGTTTAGGCTTCCAAGGACAGACAATGGACAGCTTTGCGCATCAGCAGCAGCAGCAGAAGCAGCAGCAGCAACGCGATCACTTCCCTGCAGCAGCAGCAGCAGCAGAGCATACAAGACTTAGAAGCGACTTCTTACCACAGACATTTAGAGGCAACGGCAGAACATTCAACTACAGCAGCAGCAACAGCAGCAGCAGCAACAGCAGCAGCAGCAACAGCAGCAGCAGCAACAGCAGCAGCAGCAGCAGTTGGGAAGCAGAAGTGGTAGCTGAGCTGCAGCAGCTAGGTCTCGAGGATGACAGGGTAGCAGCACTAACGAGCCGGTTTGCTGCTCGAATGCAGCAGCAGCAGCAACAGCTGCTGCTCCAGCAGCAGCAGCAGCAACTGCAGCAGCAGCAGCACAAGTTCCTGCTTAATCCTCAGATGGAAGCCTTGGGGGGACCTGAATTGAATGCGCTGCTGCCTGATGTGTTTGCTGCTGCTGCTGCTGCTGCACGGCAGATTGTTGCTGCTAAACTCTTTGAGCAGAAGCAGCAGCAGGAGGAACAGCAGCTTCTGCATAAGAAGCCACTGCAGCAGCAGCAGACGGAAGGCAACCGCAGCAGCAGCAACAACAAGGGCAGCACCAGCAGGGACACCAGCAGGCACACTGAGCAGCATCCCCTAAGACCATCAGCTTCTGCTGCTGGTGGTGCTGCTGCTGCTGCGCTGCACAGCAGCAGCAGCAGCAACGCCGATCTAAAGGCAGTGGAACGCCGTAGGAGTCCTGACGTATCTCCCTTGTCTCTTCGCACAGCAGCAGAGTGCAGCAGCAGCAGCAGCAGCAAACCTGCAGGGAGGTTAACGCCTCGAAGTCCTCGAGCAGCAGCAGCAGCAGCAGCAACAAGGCGGCTAGCAGCTCAAAAGCCTGCATGCGTTAATGGGCGTTGCGGCCGGTGTGGGGGACTGCCCCTGGATGCAGCAACACAGCAGCAGCAGCAGCAACAGCAGCAGCAGCAGCAGAAGCAAAGAGGATTGCAATTTGATACAGGGGTCTTAGGAGGCCCTGCTGCAGATCGTAACAGGAGCAGCAGCAACAACAGCAACAACAGCAGCAGCAGCAGCAGCAGACCACGTGAAGAAACGTTAGCAGCAAGAGCCGGTCCCTTACAGCAGCGGGAACCCCTGCCGCTGCAGCAGCGGCAGGAGCCGCAGCTGCAGCAATTGGTACAAGAGCAGCAACAACGGCTGGTGCAGCAGCAGCAGCAGCAGCAGACTGACCTTGGAGACCGCGAAACAGAGCAGCAGCAAAGGCTGAAGCAACTGCAGCAGCAACTGCAGCAGCAGCAAGATAAGACACTTTCCCTTTCCTCTAGCTTATGCAAGGTTGAAGCGGAGCAGCTGCAGCAACTGCAGCAGCAGCAGCAGCAACTGCAGCTGCTGCAGCAGCAACTGCAAAAGATCTCCGCTAGCCGCATGGTCTCCTCTGCAAAGGGGGAAACACCTGTGCTGCTGCAGCAGCCTCTCATCTCGACACCGCCGCCACAGCAGCAGCAACAACAACTGCAGCAGCAGCCGCAGCGGGCTGTGCTGCAGGGACAGCTAGCAGCAGCAGAGCCGATGCAGCCATCGCAGCTGCCACACCCTCCCTCCCTCAACAACAGCAGCAGCATCTGCAGTATTAGCAGCAGCAGCAGCAGCAGCAGCAGCATTAGCAGCAGCATCGGACAGTCTGCTGCACCTTCTCGAAGCATCTCTACAGCAGGGCAGACATGTTTGCAGCAGCTGCAGCAACAGCAACAGCAGCAGCAGCAGCAGCAACTCCGGCAGCAGCCGCCGGGATTGAAGTTCGGAGAAGCGCGACGGCTGCAACTGCAGCAGCAGCAGCACGCAGACCTAAATAGACTCCAGCAGCAGCAGCAGAAGCAGCAGCTGCTACTGCCGGTGCAGCAGCAGCTGCAGCAGCCGCTGCATCAGCGGCAACAGCTGTTGCAACAGCAACAGCAGCAGCAGCAGCAGCTGCAGCAGTCGCTGCATCAGCGGCAGCAGCTGCTGCAACAGCAGCAGCAACAGCAGCAGCAACAGCAGCAGCAGCAGCAGCAAGGGGCAACATTGTTGAGGAGGCAGCGCAGCTTTTCTTCGCGCGAGGCCTCAATCGCCCGTTGCAGCTCATTGGACCTCCCGCAGCAGCAGCAGCAGCAGCACAGCAGCAGTGGCAGCAGCAAAGAGCAGCAAGACCAAGTGAAGCACCTGCTGCAACAGCAACAGCAGCAGCAGACGCTGCAGCAGCAGCAAGGAGGGCACTCTTTGCCCAGTCTCGTGCAATACCACTGTATGAAGCAACAACTGCAGCAGCAACAACTGCAGCAGCAGCAACTGCAGCAGAAACAACCGCAGCAGCAGCAACTGCAGCAGAAACAACCGCAGCAGCAGCAACTGCAGCAGCAGCAACTGCAGCAGCTACCACTCGATGCGACGCATCGTAGTTTAGTTAGCAGCCGCTCGAGAATTGGGGAATTGAGTCCTCTCATGAAGCAGCAGCAACTGCAGCAACTGCAGCAACAGCAGCAACAGCAGCACCCGCAGGCGCTGCTGCGGAGCAACGCATCTCCTGATCCCCCCCGTCGCCAGGAGATGCAGAGTACCTTTCGTCTTGCTGCTCTCCAGCAGCAGGCAGTGCTGCTACGGCAGCAGCAGAAGCAGCAAATGCCCCAGCAGCAACTGCCGCAGCAACAAATGCCGCAGCAACAAATGCCGCAGCAACTGCCGCAGCAGCAACTGCAGCAGCAGCAACTCAGCATGCCTCGTCAGCCTCATCAGCCACTCACCCCCATCCATATGCGACAGCAGCTGCAGCAACAGCAAATTCAGCAGCAGCAACTGCTACAGCAGCAAGTGCACCAGCAGCAACTGCTGCAACAACAACTGCAGCAGCAGCAGCAGCAACTGCCACGCGTTATGCACAGCAGGTCTCTTGTTATGGAGGGAAGGCCTTCAGCTACCAGGACATTGTCTCTATCTACTGATTGCTGCAGGTACCCTACTGCAGCAGCAGCAGCAGAAGCAACAGCAGCAGGAGGAAACACCCGGTATGACAACTGGCAGCAGCAACTCCTGCTGCAGCAGCAGCAACAACGACTGCTGCAGCAGCAGCAGCAGCAACCGCTGCAAACTCCTAAGCCAACACTTCCTCTGTCGATACACACGTCGCCTCCATCACTTCTGCTGCAGCAGCAGCAGCAACTGCAGCAGCAGCAGCAACTGCAGCAGCTGCAACAGCAGCAGCAGTTGCAGCAGCAGCTTCTAGAGCAGCAACGGCAGCACCAGCTGCTGAAGCAGCTGCAACAGCAGCAGCTGCTGTTGCTGCAGACTCGTAGGCCACATATGCAGCAGCAAAATGCTGCTCAGTACCAACAGACGCAACTAGCGCCCCTAGCAGCAGCACCACCACCACCACTAGCAGCAACACCACTAGCAGCAGCTGCACCATCACCATTAGCAGCAGCAGCAGCAGCACCAGCACCAGTAGCAGCAGCAGCAGCGCCTGCGTTTTTCGTCAACTGAACAATTTTGTTTCGATGCTGCACTCTTAGTTGGAGTTTACCAGCAGCAGCAGCAACAGCTGCAGCAGCAGCTGCTGCTGCTGCTGCACTCTGCTGCTGTTGATGCAAAACGCGGCGATAGCGCTGTTGCCGTCGCCTTTGCTGCAGCAGAAGCAGCTGACAGCAGCAGCAGCAGCAAAATGCATGCACATTGCTGCTGCTTCCTGTGCTGCTTCTGCTGCAGCAGCAAAACATTCCCTAATTTGTTGTTTGACATACTCAATCACCTGCTCTCATTAGCAGCAGCAACAGTAGCAGCAGCAGCTGCTGCTGCTGCAGCAGCTGCAGCTGCTGCTGCAGCATCAGCACCACCAGTGGGTGCAGCTGGCAAAATAGTTGCTACTTCAACGTATGGAACAGCAGCAGCACGTGCGTGTTCAACTGCTGCTGCAGCAGCAGCAGCTGCTGCTGCTGTTGCTGCAAACCTGCATGGGCAGGCGCAGTTCCTGAGCTGGTGGCTTCTCTCCTTGCGATTTGGCTAGCTAGCTAGCTAGCTAGCTAGGCATACACATGGCTAGCCAGCTACTTAGCCAGCTATCTAGCTAGCCATCTAGCTACATAGCTAGCTAAGTAGCTAGCCAAATAGCTAGCTAGCCAGCCAGCTAAATAGCTAGCTAACTAGTTAGTTAGCGGATGGATAGGCAGCATGCTGCTAGCTAGCTAGCTAGCTAGCTAGCCAGCTAGCTAAATAGCTAGCCAAATAGCTACATGAATAGAAAACTCCATAGCTAGCCAGGAGCAAAGTAGCTAAATAGCTAGCTAGCTAGACAGCTAGCGACCTAAATAGCTCCCTTGCGAGCTATCTAGCGAGCTAGCTAGCTAGCTAGCAGGCTAAATAGCTAGTCATAGTTAGCTAGGTAGTTAGCTAGCTAGCTAGCTAGCTAAATGGCTATAGGGCGAAGACAGAGAGGACAATTTCTGCTCTTAACTAGCCAAGCATCAATGCAAGTTTTATGAAAGAAATGTTGGCAAGGAAGAAGACGAATTGTATCCTCAGGAACAAATTCTCCTAGACAAATTACGCAGCCGCTAAAGGTAGAAGAGAATGCTCCTGTCCTGCAGCAGCAGCAACAGCAGCAGCAGCAACAATAGCAGCAAATATACATACAGCAGAAGCAGCACAAAAAATGAACTCTTTATGACGCAAAATGATGGAGATATGACTTATGTAGCTCAACTCTAGGGTTTAGGGTTTAGGGTTTAGGGTTTAGGGTTTAGGGTTTATAGGGTTTTTTTAACATACATATTCCTCTTTCTTTGTTTCTCTTCCTGGTCTTGCTTGTCTTGCTGCTGCAGTCTCTGCTGGTCTTCCTCTAATTCTTTTTGTAGGTCTTCTTTTTCTTCCTTAGTTAATCCAATTTCGTTACGTATTCTTCTTGCATGCCTTTGCTGCAGGTGCTGCTGCTTCTGCTGCAGCCGCTGCTGCTGCCGCTGCTGCTGCCGCTCATTGTATCGCTGCTGATCGAGGATTTGTTCAAGTTTTTCTTTATATTTCATGGTAGGTAGTGCATCTATTTCGTGAGGATATGCACCTCTTCTCCATCTAGTTGTTATTGGTGCTGCTCTTGCTGCTGCTACTGCAGCAGCAGCAGCAGCAGCACCCCTTCCTTCGTCGCTAGGAGGCAATGATATCCAAAACGACACAAATGTCGCCACCAGACGTAACAAACTCACCGATATCTGAAACGCAAACCCTAAACCCTAAACCCTAAACCCTAAACCCTAAACCCTAAACCCTAAAAACCCTCAACACTAAAATAATTAATAATAAAACCATAAATAATAAAGCCGTTAAACATAAACCCTAAACCCTAGCTTACGGCGCTGACGATCTGACGGTGAGATTCCATAGTCCTGTTGCCTATCGAATCCTCGTAAACCCTAAACCCTAAACCCCCTAAACCCTAGAACCTAGCGTACAGAGCTGAAGGTGAGTTTCGACACTACTGCTACCTATCGAATCCCCGTAAACCCTAAACCCTAATTCCAAGCCCTAAACCCTAAACCCTAGCTTACGGAGCTAACGGTGAGCTTCCATAGTCCTGCTGCCTCTGTACAAGGGTCTTGATTAAATACCCAAATAACCCCCAATATAAACCACCCATAGGATAAAACACTCAATGCCTTGGAGAAACTCCATGCAGGACCACTCGTCATTCGCATCACCCTGAATCGCAAACCCTAAATTAGGGTTTAGGGTTTAGGGTTTAGGGTTTGGTGTTTAGGGTTTAGGAAAGAGGGGGAGTAAGGATAGAATGCCTATAATATAAACACTTATGATACAAATGATACTACTATCAAGAAGAAAGTCTATTAAGGTTTAAGGTTTAGGGTTTAGGGTTTACATGTCTACTATTTCGCGTCTCTCTCCTCCACAGGTACAAAGATGACAGAAAAATAAATAACGAACGGGCAATTGAGGAATTTGAAGGGCCGTAAATATTGTATTCCACCTATACAATCATAAACCCTAAACCCTAAACCCTAAACCCTAAACCCTAAAACCCTAAACCCTTAGGAAAACGCAGCTGAGTGCACTCGCCTTGCAACAGACTTAACCCTAAACCCTAAACCCTAAACCCTTAGGCTGAGTTGCCTCCCATATAAAAGAACAGCAGCCCATCCGTAAACCCCCAACTGCAGTGCATCACTATAAACTATATGAGTACTATTAGGGTTTAGGGTTTAGGGTTTAGGGTTTACTAACCATTGTAAGGCTTTATTACAATCACAATGACTCCAATTTAGATATAAATATGCAACAGTTGGTGCGGAGATCAAAACCCCCGAAATTGTGCCAAAAAGCATTACAATCCTATACCACAAACCCTAAACCCTAAACCCTAAACCCTAAACCCTCGAGATACTCCCTCTCCTCCTATAAGTGTTCGCCGCGAAGGTGTTCAACTATCGACTGGCAGCGGCTGCAGCCTATTAGAGCTTAACCTTAAGGGTTTATCTAGGGTTTAGGGTTTATTAGGGTTTATTAAGGTTAATTAGTGTTAATTAGGGTTAATTAGGGTTAATTAGGGTTTAGGGTTTACTTAATAAATACAAGGGCATCTTGAGGGCTTTGATCAACAACCTCCATGATTGCATCTCTTGTAGGGTTTTGTGGTACCTCAGGGCCAAGAAGGGCTTCCTCTAGTCGCTGCACCGTAAACCCTAAACCCTAAACCCTAAACCCTAAACCCTTTGGGTAGGTGTATGGAGGGAGATTTTATTGCTTAAAAGAATAAACCCTAAACCCTCGATAGTGAGAGGCAGATGCGTATCCATGTTATGTGGGGTTTGTACCGAGGGTTTAGGGTTTTGCTAATAAGGTTGCTGCTGCTGCTGTTGCTGCTGCTGTTGTTGTTGCTGCTGCTGCTGCGCCTTGTTGCACTCGTAGTCTCTAACTATTTAGATAAATTCAATGCTTCCTATAGATTAGGGTTTAGGGTTTAGGGTTTAGGGTTTACTTACGGTATGCACATATGCAATACCCCGCCATACACTGCAGCACGCCTTTAAAAGTAGGTTCGCCATTCTGCTGCTAGTGCTGCTGCTGCTGCTGCTGCCGCTGCTGCTGCTGCTGCTGCTGCCGCTGCTGCTGCTGCTGCTGCTCATGTTGCTGCTCACGTTGCTGCTCATTTTGCTGCTGCTGCTACTGCAGCTACTGCAGGTACTGCAATTGCAGTTGCAGCTACTGTTGTTGTTGCTGCTGTTGCTGCTGTTGCTGCTGGTGTTGCGGTTGTTTACGCTTACCTTGCTGCTGCAGCTGCAGCTTTTGGAGGTGCTGCTGTTGCTGCTGGTGGCTTCCTGCTGCTGCTGCTGGCTCCGCCCTTGTTACCAGTTCCCTCACTGCTTGTGTCGTTCTCTGTGCTGTTCACCTTTGCCCTGCTGGGTGCAGATAAGCAGAAGCAGCAGCAGCAGCAACAGGAGCAACAGCAGCAGCTGCTGCTGCTGCTGATGGTAAGACCTGCGCCGCAAGGGAGTTGTTGGGGATTGTGTTTTAGCTACTTCGTGATGTTGTTGCTGTTGTTGCTGCTGCAGTTGTAGCTGCTGTTGCTGCTGCTACTGCAGTTGCTGTTGCCACTGCTGCTGCTGCTGCTGTGGCAAAGTGAGGCCCGCCAACGGAGCAGCAGCAGCAGCAGCAGCAGCAGTTCTTCCTCAAGGGTTAATGGTCAATATACACTAAAGTTTCTAGTGGTTATGACCATGCAGACACCTGCTGCTGCACCTGCTGTTGCTGCTACTGCTGATGTTCCTGCTGCTGCTGCCGCCGCTGCCGTTGCTGCTGCTGCTGCTGCTGCTGTTATTGTAGTTGCACAGCGATGTCTGCTGCTGCTGCTGCTCTTTAAGGGAAATTCTCTTCCTAAAAGACAGATTGCCTTACCTTTCTTTGTAAGCAATCAATATTGCACGAAGGCCCCGAGCAGCAGCAGCAGCAGCAGCAGCAGCAGCAGCAGCAGCAGTAGCGGCAACTCGTTCGGTCGGCTGCCGGCAGCAGCAGCTACTGCTGCAGTAGGTCGATCAGTCTGCTGCTATAGAAGCAGCAACAGCAGCAGCAAGTTAGGGGTATAATAAGTAAATATATATATTTGTATAGTTTTCCTATAGATTAGGATTAACTGTTGCTGCTGCTGCTGTTGCTGCTGCTGCTGCTCGTAGTACACCAGGACACACAGCACTGCTGCTGCCAGCGCGTCTTGCTGCCGCTGCTGCTGCTGCTGCTGTTGCTGCTGCTGTTGTGTGCGTAATTATAGTTATATTTGCATGCATACTTTGCTGCTGCTTGTGTGCTTCTAATTAAATTATTTAATAACAACTCTCTTCTAATATAGCATGCAGCAGCAGCAGCAGCAGCGGCAGTAGCAGCAGCAGCAGCAGCGGCGCAGCATCAGCGGCGCAACAGCAACGAGTGTCTTGTGTGTGTTTGTATGTGGGGTTGTTCCTTCTTTATATAATAAATATATTTATTTATTTATTATTTATTATTATTATATTAATAATAGTAAATAAATAAATAAATAAATAAGTATAAATAATAAATATAAATAATGAATATAAATATATATACATAAATATAAATATAAATATAAGGGGTCAGTAAAATTAGACCCCTAATATCTGTATCTTCTGCTGCTTCTGCTGCTGCTGCTGCTGCTGCGGCATCTGCTGCTGCTGCAGTATGCATGCAGCTGCATGCAAGCAGCAAAGCCCCCAAGAGGTCGCCCTTCGTCTTCCTCCTTGCATGCAAGCATAAGAATACCCGTACAGGTCTAGCAGCAGCAGCAACAGCAGCACCAGCAACAACAACAGCAGCAGGAGTAGCTAACTAGAGTGTGCTGTTGCATGCATTGGGGCTGCATGCATGCAGTGCAAGAGAGGAGACAAAAGACAAGAATTAACAAAAGGCAGATAAATTCGTAAACAACTAAACCCTTTTGCATGCATCTATCCTTCTCTCCTCTAGCTAGCTAGCTAGCTAGCCAGGTAGCTAGCTAGCTACCTAGGTAGCTGGTCAGCTAGTTAGCTAGCTAGGTAGCCAGGTCGCTAGCTGGCCAGATAGTCGGATAGCTAGCTAGCCAGATAGCCAGTTAGTCATATAGCTAGCTAGCTAGCTAACCTCTGGATAGCTAGGAGGAAGGGAGGGGAGAATGCATGCAGCGCTGCTGCCCTTTTTGGGGCTTTGCAGGGCATTAATACTTCTCATAAAAGATTAGTGTTTAGGGTTTAGGGTTTAGGGTTTAGTGTTTTCTTCATTTAAGGGTTTAGGGCACATAACAACAGGAAAAAGCCCCATAAATGTGCATGCATGCAGATAAGGTAATAAAGACGGCGCTGCAAGAAGAAGCAGCTGTATTCCCCTATTTAGGGTTTAGGGTTTAGGGTTTATAATTAGGGTTTAGGGTTTATAAGAGAGAAGAAAAAAGGAGACAAACGATGCGCAACACATTGAAGAAAAGAGACACATAAATAAAAAGGAGACACTAATCCCTTATTCCTTTTATTGTTATATATCCCCATTAATTAATTAATTAATTTATTTATTTATTTATTTATATATTTATTTTTTTTTTTCTTAATAGGGATACCTCTCTTTGCTGCATGCATGCAATAAAAACCCTTCTCCCTCGTCCGGCCATTTCTAGGGTTTAGGGTTTAGGGTTTAGGGTTTAGCGGATATTGGTGTCTTGCTGTTTCTTAATAAACAGCAACTCCCTTTCTTCTTTCTTTCTTTCTTCTGCTGCTCTCCTTAGGAGTACATGCACATAATCATTAACAATAATTATAACACAATATATATATATATATATATATATATATA